AGAAAATAACTTATTATTGGAGGTAGATTATTTTGACAATATATAATATATATATATAATTCATTGAACTTGAACATATTTATAAACTTGAACTGAACTTGAACTGAACCAAAACTTTAAGTTCAGGTTCAGTTCAAGTTCATAAATCTAGAGGTCAGTTTAGGTTCAGGTTCAATGATCTGCAAAATTTGTGGTTCAGGTTCAGGTTTAGGTTCAGGTTCATTGAACCTGAACCTGAACTGAACTGAACTTCGGAACACTAAGTACACCTATTGTATGAATAAATAAATAATCATAAAAATTTTTATTGCAGCTAGTTTTCAAGAATACAAAGAAAAGCCAACAAAAATCATGTGAATGTATGTAATAGTTATATAGAATTTTTACTAGAAGAATCACTCTCTGACATTTTCTGATCAGGCTAATTTAGACTATTTTAAACCAATATACTAGTTCTTATTTACATATAAATCATATTTTTACTTCTTGATTTAATACTTATTAAATGAATGCTTGAGTCAATAAAGGCAAGAATGATTTACATACAAATAAAGACTAATATATTGGTTTGTATTTGTCTAAATTAACTCAATCAGAAAATGTTAACAATAAAATAAAAGAAAAGAAAGAAAAGAAACCACTTATCTTACAAGATCCTGATTTATTCACAAAATCTCTATGACAGTTTTGGAGCTCTAGTCCAAGCTTCAATGACTCAACGACAGTTTTAACGACGGCTCCAGTAACAGCTTCAGCAATGACTCCAACGACAAATAAAACTATTAAAGAGAAGAAAAAAAAAGCTATTTAAATCAAAAATAAAAAAAAAAACAAGTGCGAAAAAAAAACAATGATAATTAAAAGGATAATCATTGTTTATATATGATTACTGATTTTAAAAATGATTGGTTAATCATATAGGGGTCGCCATGGCGATGGGTCACTATTTATAATTTTCATATAAATAAATATTTTATATTATATATATATAAATAAAAAAAACTTTAATTATTTAAAGAAAAATTCATATATAACTAATATAAAGTTAAATAATATTAAAATTTTAACTATTTAATTTTTAATAATAATAAATTTTATCAATATCTTCAAAATGTTTTTGTGCTATTTCACTTGAATTATAATTTTTTTCACTTTCTAAATCTTGAATAAAATCATTTAATTCATTTTCATTATCTGAATTTTCTATTATTTGATTATCATCAGTATCTTTAAAAGTTTCCATTTCCAAATCAATTATTTCTAATAAATTTAAATTTTCTCATATAGTTCCTTGTTCATCATCTAAATCATATTCATTATATTCATCTAAATTAATATTTAATTGATTTTCAATTTCATCTTTATTTTTTTCATCCTCTTCTTCAATTTATGTATTATATAATTCTTGATAAATTTCTTCAACTGTATATTCTTGGCTATATAAATTTAATTCAGTTGTTTTATTAGTGATATAATAAGAATTTGTTTTAACTAATGATTCAAAATTTTCAACTGATAAATTGATTCTTCTTTTTCCTGTCATCCATCTATAAATAGACCAAATTCTTTCACAACTTGCTGCATGTGGAGTAATTGAAAAAAGTTTAATTACAAGTAATTGTAAATATGGTGGTGTTGTTGTACATGTTTTCACCAACTTAAACCTGTGTCAATATTTGGCGGTGAGTCAATAGAAATCAAGCAAATTATTTTTATTGAATTTTTTTTAAACTTTATATATTAATAACTTAACCAAAACTTGATCAAATTTAATAAAAATTTTTTTAAACAAATTCTATAAGTTTGTAGAATTTATTTAAAAAAAATTTTATTAAATTTGATTAAATTTTTGTTGAGTTATTATTGTTTAAAGTTTAAAAAAAATTTACTTAGAAAAAATTTGCTTGATTTCTATTGACTCAACCCCATTTGATGAAAAAGATGCATTATATGGATCCTTATTTAAATAAAATTCTCTAAATTGACCAATACGTATATCTCCTGATTGTTGTTTAGAATGTTTATATTTTTTTAATTGACTTGCAATTTCTGTAATTTTTATTATTTGTTGCCATATATTAGCTGCTGAAGTTGCAATTCTTAAAAATTTATTTTTTTGAATATCAATACCTAAATAATTTATAAATTTGAAAATTAAATATTTTAAAAGTTAAATAATTTAAAATTAAATAATAAATAACTTACCCTTATAGCTCAGATAAAGAAAATATGCTAAAAGATATTCATCAAATTCAAATTCTTCAAATCTTGAATTAAATACTTTAATAGCATGTTGATGAATATGCTTATAAATTTCTTTGGGTATTTTATGAATTGCATTTCCTAAACTTATTAATGAAAAATAACAATCAGCTAATGTTGCATTTCTACTTTCTAATTTAATAATAGCATCCTTAATTGGTTTAAAAATTTTAGCTAAATCATAAACATCATTAAAAAATCCTCTTTTTCTACAAATAATTGTTTTAACAGATTCATTTGTTATAACTAAAGGATTTTCATTAATTATCTAAATAAAAATTATAAAAATTAATTATATTTAATAAAAATTTTAATAATTAATATATATAAATTTTACAATACCTCTTTTAAACAAGTTTCTAATTGATAAACTGATTTTAACTTCTCATAAACTGTTATCCATCTTGTATCAATATAAGTTTTTAATCCACTACCTAATATATATTTTTCAGAAATTTTGGCTAGTAAAAGATCATTTGGTAAATGGCTTTTTTTTAAAATATAAAACTAAAACTTTACACCATTAAATAATTTTAGTAGCAAAAGGATGCTTGATTAAATCTTTTGTAATGAGATTAAATGAATGTACAATACATCTAATATTTAATATATGTGAATATTTTTTGAGAAATTTGTTTTCTTGCTAAATTAATATTTGAACCTGCATCTGTTACTATGCCAATAAATTTTTCAGTTCCAATATCTTCAGGTATTTTTTGAATTTCTTTTGTTAAAAAATCAGCAGTGTGACTTGCATTTGAATAATCTTGAATTTTCTAAAGAATATCTTAACCATCATCTAAATAAATAACAAAATTCCATAAAGATTTTCTTGTTAAACTAGTCCATCCATCTAAAGCTAGAATAAATTAATAAATTATAGTAAATATATAGTTTTTTAAAATTAAATTAAATTGATTTAAATTTAATTAAATTGGGTGTGGCGACTTAGTGAAGTTGGTAAGTTGTCACTCCTCCAAATGGCAGATCTAGAGTTCAAATCTCACTGGTGACGATTTTGAAAAATAAGATTTGTTTCGGTAACATTTATTTGACGATCGGTTGGGTGTACTATCTGTAACCTTGGTACCATCTTGAATGGGAGCTTTCTGGCGAAGTTGTATGACATCACACAGACAAAGCCTAGGAACCGGAATAATTGAAACCTATTTGGAAAAACCCGAGCAAGAAAGTAGTGAAGATCTTTGATGATACTGCAGAAGCCGGAAGCCCGGAAACCGGAGACCTAAGAACCAGATGAATAACCCTGGGGCAAGAAGGGTTCAGCAACCTGGCCGCCGGAGTCGCACTGGAGGAAAAGGTCCTATGCTGCGGAATTAGAAACCAAAGGAAGGGAACCATCGGACACTTAAATTCTAGGTATACCAACCTATCTGGGCTAACTGGTTTGGAAGTTTGGGAGTGATTGGTATAAGGACCGGAAGGAAGGTAGATGTAGATATCGGATTGGAATGAACCTTGTAAGGGCAGGAAAACCAAGAATTGTGCAGTTTAATGGTTAGCTTTGACTGCTAGTGTTGGTCTCGGCCATAGCAGACAGGTTCTCTGAACCTAATTTGAAAATGTGTAGGACATAGAAGAATTAGGGAGGCAGCCACTACGCCCACCTGTGGGGACCCTAAGGAAACCAGCGGGGTAACCAAACTCAGATAAGTGTGTGGAGGGCACTTCGGTATAAAGGTACCTGGCTTAGAATAATTGGTGGGTATGTACGATTAGAGGGTTTAAATAGATAATCCCCTAGTCGAATTATAGACATGACATCTAGTGTAGAACCTTCGGGCGGACTACTTAAATAGGCAACCAAAAGTTGTATGTGTGGCTAGTTGTACTCTCGTTGTAATATTAAATGTAAGACCCACGTGGTCAACAGTTAAACATTAATAAAGCTCGGTCCCGAAGGACACTTTAAAAAAAATAAAAAAATAAAAAAATTTAATTAAATTAGAAATAATTAATAAAATTAAATATCTAATGTCAAATTTTTTTTATCTGTTAATAATTTATATAAATAAGTATTAATTCTAACTATTTCTTTTGTTAATAAAGTATTTGCAACAGTTTTTCTACAAGGTAAAGTTTAAGCAGAATGAAGTTGTTTTAAAAATTCAATAAAAAATAGATGTTCTATAAGTCTCCAAGGTAATCCACAACATACAAATGCTTTAATAAGTGCTCTATTTATTGATTCAATATGTTTATCTGGAATAGTTGTATATTCAAAAAATTCATCTAAATGTAATTGTTTATTTGAATGCTTAGTTTCAGAAATATTTGATAAATTGTTACAAGATTCAATAATATATATAACTGCTTCTTTTACTGTTTCAAAAACTTTCTTACATTCACTAATTATATGTTTTTTCATTTGTGATGGTTTTCCAGATGAAAATTTTTTATCGCATACTTTACAAATTGCTTCATAATGTCCTGAATTATCTAATATACCTCCTCTATCATAAAAATTCCAAATTAGTTTTAATGGACGACCACCAATATTTTTTTCAGTGATATATTTAACTTTCTTAGATTCTGACATATTAAAAATAATATATATTTAATAATTTTATAATAAAAATATAATAATAAAATTTACTAAAAATATTAAGTTTTTGTAAATTTTAAAGAACAAATATTAAGTAAAAAACTTTGTTTAAAAAAAATAAAAAAAATAAAAATAGAAAAATTTAAATAGAATTTAAATTCAATAGCCTCCAAAGATACTATAAGGAGCAATAGGCAATTGTGTTTGGGGGTTAAACCTATTGGCCAGTTTGTATTGGTCGGGTATAGCAAATGCTTGCCCTATACAAGGATTATTAGACTTTAAGAAAGTACTAATAATCAGACCATAGACAGCTATATGTGGCCTTTAAATTCTAATAATTCAAAGCTAGTACTGAAATCAGCTTTCACTTTATATTATTTTTAAGAAAAAAAAATAAAATTTATTAAAAAAATATATATATATATATATCTAAACTATGTGAAAAATCTTGGCAATATAGAATTTCTAAACAGAACATTCCACAACACAAATAATTCTGCCAAGCAAGGAAAATCTGTAAATCTTATTAAATAAGATTTGTAGATTTTTTCTTGGCAACTCTTAAATGATTTACTGTAATCACATTTAACATGAGTTAACACATGTATTATAGCTGTTCTTATAAATTTTACAAGAATGATTTTTTGGCTGATTCGATTAAGCTATTAATTTTGGTGATGATCAGTATATATTTTTAAATGCTAAATGATTTTATCATTTAAGATAGATGTGCGACACTGTATACTAAAATCAGGAGCATAAACATTAATATTATAATTATATATGCTAATTCTTACATTATATCATGAAGCTTTTTAATTAGCTTTAGCATTACGATCTAATCTTAAAATTTTATTCATAATAAAGAGAGTTTCGCATATGATTTCATCAACTGACTTAGTTTGTAAATTGTGTAAAGCAATTTTAAAATTTTACTTTATCACGAAGTTAGCCAAATTGAAAAAGATTACGCCAATAGAAGAATCGATATAATAAGCAACAAACTTCCCCGGCGCCGGAAGATATTATGGAATTACCTTTTTCTAGTCATACCGAAGCAAGCACTTCTGGCTGAAAAAAGAAAGATATTATTGCTTTCCTTGGCAAGTTAGTTAAAATAGTCAGCCAGGCGGAAATGGTGATATTTTTAGACCAATTGAAAGATTTAAGTTTTGCAGCTGCCACTCAATATGGAATCAGTATCTCGCTCCAAAAATTAACACATGAAAATGATTCTATGTTACAAGCACAAAATTTAGAATTTGTTAACACATGCATCGGGTGTATTATAGCTCTGTTTTTGGACAACTCTAAAAAAGATTGTGTGGAATTTTTACGTATAAGATAAACAGAATGGTATTTTGTTTAGGGCAAGTCAATTAACAAGAATGTAGATCATTATATTATGAGAATCAATCGACAGAATGGCATTTTTTTTAGTGCAAGTCAATTCACAAGAATGTAGATCATTATCTCATGAGAATCAATCAAGAAAGTAAATCATTATGCTATAAGAGTCAATCAAGTAGATCATTGACATAAGAATAATTGTCCATAGATCATTTTCATAAGGTTACTATACTGAATCAAAACCAAGATTTATGTACGAACGCAAAACTCGATACACTCGTTTCGACATATTCA